TTGCAGTCAGCATAGTGATACCTATAGTCAAGCTGCTTCCAATTTAGTTGCTGGAAATAATCTTGAACAGACTATCCAACAATTGATGGATATGGGTGGTGGCAATTGGGACAAGGAAACTGTAACACGTGCACTTCGAGCTGCTTATAACAACCCTGAGCGAGCAGTAGATTATCTATATTCTGTATGTCCGAAACTTTGTGAATGTATCTGTTCTAACATTAAACTACTGTATTCGTTTGGATGCGGTTATGGTTATATTTATATTCAGGGAATTCCTCAATCAGCTGAAGTGGCTGTGCCAGTGGCTAATTTTCTACAAGTCAGACTACTGAAACTGGTGCAGTTCTTGCTACTGCTGTTTCAGGGGCTCCTAATTCATCACCATTAAATATGTTTCCTCAGGTAAAACGTTAGATTTTTATGTACCACAGAAATTTTTTTCTCATTATTGGGTTACCTGTTTTTATTTTTATTCCCAACTTGCTGAAATAATACTAGGAAACACTTTCTGGTGCTGCTGCTGTTGGAGCTGGATCCCTGGATTTCCTCCGAAACAACCAACAGGTGTTGTATTGTTTTTTCTCTTAAACTATGAAGATTTTAGTTATTTCACAAATACTAATTGCATCTTTGCTTGAATTTAGTTCCAAGCTTTGAGAACAATGGTGCAATCAAACCCACAAATTCTACAGGTTTGCATCTCTATGTTTCAACTAGCAGTAAGCATTCCAACCTGAAGCCAGTTTGCAATAAGTTGATTAGACAGGAAGAAACAAAAAACAACCCGGTGATGATACTCGCATCAGCCTAAAACAAATTGATAATAATGAAAAGACTCGATTTGATTATAAAACCATATGAAAATATCTAACAGGTGTGATAACAACACCCTTAGTAACTAGCAAAACATATATGATTTTCTATTGTTCTGGATTTGATTTGCTTCTTTTGACAGCCCATGCTACAAGAGCTTGGAAAGCAAAACCCCCAGCTTTTAGGACTAATTCAAGAGCATCAAACAGAATTTCTTCAGTTAATAAACGAGCCACTCGAAGGTTCTGAAGGGTGAGTACTTATTCGATATCACCATGCCATCTAGGCCGTCGATTTACCGTCATTATTAATGTTAATTTAAAGTTGGTGCTTTCAGGGACATGTTTGATCAGGCTGACCAGGAGATGCCTCATGCTATCAATGTTACCCCAGTAGAACAGGAGGCTATTGAACGAGTACTCGAAACAGTTTTTATTTTTTTTCCCCTATTTTATTTTGGATCCTCTCGAACTTTCAACGATCAATAATTTGTTTTCTTTGTAGCTTGAAGCAATGGGATTCGATAGAGCCCTTGTCATTGAAGCCTTTTTAGCGTGCGATCGGAACGAGGAATTGGCGGCTAACTATTTACTGGAAAATGCTGGAGATTTGAGGACTGATGGAGGAATCTTTACCTTATTTGATTTATAGTTTTGATCGAAGTAGGTGGACAAGGGCATTGTCGGGGACGAAGCAAGTGAAAACTAATGAGTGTTGAATCCAAATTGTTTGTGATAGAGGCTTATCGAAATTTCTTTGAAATTTATTTCTTTTAGCTTGCGATATTACTTGATGATGATGAGTGGAAAAGAAATTCATCAAATCATTTGGGTGGGGGGTGGGGGAAGAATAAAATAGTACTAAATTAGCCAAAAGATTAGATTTTTTTTATTAACTTAAAGTGATTATAAGTGATAATATATGTTTTTAAATATTTTGTAATATTTAGTGCTTGAACATGGGATCTCTAAGAATAACAATTATCTTTTTAATCATTGAAATCGTGAACTGGTGCTTGGACTTAGGACCTATAAGAATAATCATTATTCGTTTAATCAAAGAAATTATTTAATTATTATTTATTGAAATACCTTCCAAGTTTCATAAATTTTACTTATTAAATTTTAATAAATTAAAAATATACTTGTTTATATTTTAGAGATAGAAACTTCGAATTAAAAAGAAATATTTACAATTTGAAAATACAATTATATTTAAAAAGAAACAGAAATGTGTAATATTATTCGTATTCATATACTTAACATGTATGTTTATTGGAAAAATTATGATATATAATAAGTTTAAACGTCGAACAAGATAAAAACTTTTCTCCCGATTTTGGCCTAATTAAAAGCCTTTCCTTCGGTGGAAAACGTAAATATTTTTTTATTAATGGATTGGTTCGATTGGTAGGTATTTTTGATGTATGATTTTATGTTTAAATTTTTAGGTATGTAAAAAAATTTTAGTGAGAGACTCATCTATCAAAATTAAATTTACGATCTAGATCAATTAAGATTAGTCAGAATGAATCCCTGTAACCGGAAGAAAAAAAAAAACGTAAATAATTTCGTAGTTGGTGAAAGGATTTTGGCCATAAGTAACCGCTTGCTTTGCGCTTCTCGCTTCTATACTGCAACGTCCCTTCTAACGAGAGAATCAAGGAGAAGAAATGGGGAGAACGAGCCGATGAGTTATAAAGATCCAGAATTTTACTCATTCTTTGCTTATTCCCTTTGATCTTCCTACCTTCATTTTCTCAACCGTAAGTTTTATCTCTTTGTTTTTACTATTCTACAGATCTGGGTTTCGTTTATTGTTTGAGGTTACATATGGGTTTTGGATTTGACGTATGTTCGCTAGATATCCATTGATGGGATCTGTTTTTTTTCCATGTAGATTTGGTATGAGCATCTGGTTTTTCTCTTTTCTGGGTTTTTTTTAAAGAACTGAAATTTATTACATGATTTTCTATTGTGATCAAAGGATTAGAAAACATCTGCTACGATCTGTCAGGAATGGGAACGTTTTAGGTTTCAGGTGAAAGGGAAATTAAAAGACTATTCCTTGTCTATATCACAATTCAACACTTTCAAACCTAAATTCTTTAGATATATATACAAATACATGCTAGTGTGTATGTGTGCATATATTTGTTTGAACATTATGGTTTTCTTCCTGTTTTGATACATTTGAAAGCTTTGTGAGGGATACTAAACATTTGTTCTCTTTCAAAGGGTTGGAGTTGTGTTATTCTTTTGACATTTTCTGTAAATTTCCCATTGGGGTTGGAATTTGACACTTACTATTCTCTTTCAACATTTTGCTGTTGGAATTGGTGCATCTTTTGGATATTCATAGGGATGCCTCATTAGAGATGATAGATTGATTCAGTCTTTGTTTGTATATGCATTCTTATATATCATCTCCTTTTTACCATAAAAATCTACTCTTTTTCAACTTTGTATCTCAATCATCCATTTATATTCATCCAATGATCTTAAATCAGCGTAAATCAAAGAGTTTTGCACATGTAACTGGATTCTACCTCTTCGTATATGTATACATATATATACTCACACACAGAATTGGCCACATTTGATTGAGTCGAGTTCTGGTGTCTGGACTGCTGTAATGAAGAAATATGCTTTTACGTGTTCTTGTCTTTTGAGTCCTTTCCTTGCTCTCCTATTAAAGCAATTTGCTGCATGATTCCAGGTCACATTGGTTGAGGACTTTTCAATCTCCAAGCTATGGTTCTCGACGGACTCGTATCTGCTCCCCTTCGAGTGTCAGCATCGATGAGGAGGCAATTCTCGAAAGACGAGTTCTGGAACTGGTCAACCCTCGTTGAGAGGCATAGGTTCTTGTTAACGGCATTGGGAGTCTTGGCATTCCTCTGCACCATCTACCTTTACTTCGCTGTTACTTTAGGGCCACCGATTCGTGTTCCGGGTTGAAAGGACCTGAGAAAGCAACATGTAACTTGCAGCGTGTGAAGTCCACTCTGTCACATGGAAAACTCAAATTCCTTTAACAAAACATGTTCATTGTGTGTTACAAGCTATGTTACAAGTTGCTTTTATATTAATCAAAGTATTTTGTTTTAGCCAAAATATCACCTTTTATCTCTTCTTCAGATTATACCTAAATAAGTGAATCCCTTAGCTAAAAATGTATCAAACCTAATGTATAATTCATGAGGTAATGTGGGAATCAAATGAGGTTGTGCATGGAACTGTACAATATTTTATTTGAGTCAAAATGGCTTCTTAACTTTTTTCCCGTTCAAATTGGACCCTAAACCTAACAAGTTTGGTCAAATTGCCCCACGAGCTTTTAAAATGTAACATTAATCTTAAAAAATTACCACATATCAACCAAGACATAAAAATTACCGTGTGTTTAATCTTACGTTTTCATTATATGTTGTATTGTGAATAGTACTAAACTTGCTAAACTCAATCAATTACGTTGTTTATTATTTAAAAAAACTAATTTAGTTTGAATAGTATTTTTAAAAAGAAAAGCTAAACAACCTTAGTATCATTGAATCAGATGACATGAAACTTATTTTTTTTATTAAGTTAAGGTGATTACAAAAGTAATATTTGTTCTAAATACTCTCAATCATTTGACAATAAACGCTCAATCACCATGTTGCAGTCGCTGATGTTCGAACCTGTAACTACTAGGAACAATAATTATTCTTTTAACTATTGAGATAAGTTGGTTCGTGCATGAGATAATAATATATTTGACGTAACCAATCTATTTTTATAACATTCTTGCTACTAAAGTGATGAAGTAAAATTTAAAATTGTTACTTGATCGCTCACTCAAGATCATAAAAAATCCAATTAAATTTCAATTAAGCCAAGGTAAAAAATTAAATATTTAATTTCTACATAGTAGAGGGGCTAAAATAAAAATTAAACCTTTTATTTTGAATTGGCAGTACAAATGAAGCTTATTAAACGTACCCGCGCGCGGTTTCGGGGAAATTTTAGAAATGCAAAATCTAAAGAAACCTTTTCTTTGTCCGGTTTTCTCCCGCGCCAAAAGGAGCCAGAACGCACGGATCGATACCTTACGCCGTCCGATTAGAATTATCATCCAACGGCTATAAATGAATATCCTTAACGCTATAAATAAACAACGCTTCCCTTATTGAAAATCAATCCGATCCAAAATCCTGGATTGACAGAGAAGAAAAGAGGAAGGAAGAATGTCAGGGCGTGGAAAGGGAGGCAAAGGACTGGGAAAGGGAGGAGCCAAGAGGCACAGGAAGGTTCTTAGAGACAACATTCAGGGGATCACGAAGCCGGCGATCCGAAGGTTGGCTCGAAGAGGCGGGGTGAAGAGGATCAGCGGTCTCATTTACGAAGAAACGCGTGGCGTTCTCAAGATTTTCCTGGAGAACGTGATCCGCGATGCGGTTACTTACACCGAGCACGCTAGGAGGAAGACGGTTACTGCGATGGACGTGGTTTATGCTCTGAAAAGACAGGCCGAACTCTGTACGGCTTGGAGGCTAACATTTTTTCCTGGATTTGGGGATCTCAATTTGTTTTTTATTTGAATCGGGTAATAGAAGTTGAATTTCAATCCATAAAACTTGTGTTTGGTTGTCTCCTTCCTTGGTTGATCTCTAAGAAAATTAGCCTGCAACTGTTTCTTTCATTTCCCAGCTTAAACTGTTTCTTTGGGATTTGTCGGGTTTATCCCTTGGTCGGGTTAATTGAAGATGTATTCGGGTTTGCGGACTGGTTGGCTAAAAGAACTCGCCCGGGCCCAAGCTCGCAACTCTGGTTTTCAAATCCCGAGTCTGAGCTTTGTGCGTTGTTGTAATTGCTTTGCTTTATTCGTAATTGAAGCATAGATAATCTACTATTCATGACAGTGTTATATATTAAATAATCAAGGGGAAAGTATATAACGACTTGATTATTGGTGGTGTTTTATTAAGTATTTGATTATTAAAGAAAAATTATAAAGTATGCTTTTAATTATAAAATATTATTTTGTAGAGTTTTTTATTTATTAAAAATTATAAAATAGTAATTTGGTTATTTATAAAATTATATTTTTGTAAAAAAAAATTAATAATAATTTGAATTAAATGTTAATTTATTGATTGTGATATAATAAAATTTAATTTTAAAATCATATTATAATCAATATATTGATGTTTTGCTAGACGAGCTTGGGTTAGAGTGACACTTGCCTAGGGCCTACTCCTACTAATAGCTTAAAATTTGGTTAATTATGCGTATAATTATTTATGTTTGTATTTTGTTTAGTTTTGATTATTAATTTTAAAATATATAAGATATAGTTATTTTTATTTAATTAAGATATAATTACTTTTGTTTTTATTTATTTAAGATGTAATATCATAGGTAACTATTGTTAACAATTATATTAATTGTCGTGATATTTTGGTATAATCATACATTTGGTCTTTATTATTTACATATTTTCTCAATTTATTTATATTTTTAATAAATAAAATAAGTTTAGTCCTCCAATTGTGATGTTATGTGTCATTGGTGCCATGTGTCATCATTTGGTTGGAGTATTAATTTTATTTTAATTTAATATATTATTTTTCATTAATTTGCTTTAAAATAAAATAAATTAAAATAAAGTTAGTATTTCAATCGAATGGTGACACTTAACACGATACGTGGTACTAATGACGTGACATCATTCAATTAAAGATTAAATTTATTTTAATTTATTAAAAATATAAATACATTGAGATAATATGTAAATAACAGAAACCAAATGTGTGATTATACTAAAATATTTAACGATAATTAACTCGTGGTGAGTATATCTTAATTAAATAAGAACAAAGGTGGTCATATCTTATATACTTTGAAATCAGTGATCAAAAGTAGATAAACACAAACATAAGTGTTCATCAATGTAATTAACCTCTTAAAATTATAAATTCAAATATGATTTGAAAATGACAAATTATTTATTCAGTGACTCATATGTTATTTTATTTTTGTTTTGGTTATTTAATTATTATTTTCTTTCAAAATCATAATTAATCCTTCCTCCATCCCATAAAGATGTCCTTATTGACTTTTAAAAAGTCAAAATTTTTAAACTTTACCTTGATTATTTTAAATTTTATAAATAATTAAATTTTATAAAATATATATTTGAAAACTAATTGATTGAATGTTTTTAAAATATATTTTACATATTTTTATCATTAATAAATTTTAAGTAAAAATTAGTCAAAGTTTAAAAAATTGATAAAAAATCAATAATAGACATCTTTTATGGGACAGAGGGAGTATTACATTTTGTTTCATTTTTTGTTACCTATAATTAAAGGTTAATCTTAAAATTTCAAATGATTATCATATCATAATCAATATGTTAATGTCTTACGACCCATCCCTGAGCTTGGGCTAGAGTGACTCTTGCCTAGGGCTTCCTCCTACCCATAGTTCAAAATTATAACTTCAAAAAATATTTGAAAATGATAAATTGTTTATTTAGTGACCCATGTATTATTTTATTTTTGTTTTGATCATTTAATTATTATTTTCTTTCAAAATCATAATTAATGTTGCATTTTGTTTCTTTTTTCGTTACACACAATTAAAAAATTAACGGTGATGTTGATGTGGTATTTTTAATTTTTTACTTTCTACTTTATTATTCTTTTATTATTTTTTGACAAGATAAAGAAGGTTAAAATCTAACATGTATCTTCTTAGAAGATGATTATGCTTGTTTTGTGCAAGTAGTTGAGTATTTAATTAAGTTTTTATATTTTCTATTTAAAATTTGATGTATATAGTAGATATTTAATTAACGAAATAAAAATAATTTACAAGAAAATTTATTTAATCCTGCTTGTTTTTATGATTCAATACTTTCTATACTTGTTAGAGGTCTAACTTTTATGTTCGTCCCATATCACTAAAATCTCATAAATGAGCATGCGTCTTGCTCAGATGATTGATAATTTTTAACAGAAAATGATGAGTTTGGAATATATGAATAGTCAAGTGACTCAATAAAGCAACACCTATAGTCGAAAGACCATTTTGTAACTTTTAATAGTTGATGGACTAAAAAAAGAAGCACCTTATAATCAAAAGACCATTTTTTACTTTATCCAATGTTTAAATAAGAACAAAAATATATTTAACCGTGACACCCTAATCCAGTCCGACCCGAAGATCCATGAATTACAAAGTTACACGAGACTACCGAAATAGTGACCCAAAATTTTCTTTAAAAACTACTTTATAAACAACTTTTAATAATTCATCCATAACAGTTAAAATAAAACATGATAATAATCCAAGTTTAAAAATATAGAGAGCTTCCAAAATATATCCAAAATAAAACAAATACTAAGTACAAATCAAAGTTATGATTGAATACACATACGGGTCCATAAACAATACATGTCATCTAAGAATGACTCAAGACGTACTCTGAAAGTTTCTGCTGATCTGATCTACTGCATTGGAATGTATGGCGATGATAACTCCCCGTGAACGACCTCCTAAGAACCTGGGCACGGAAATACATTCCGAACGTTGAGCTTACTAGCTCAATGCCTTATTAATAACTGTATGATACTACATGCATCCACTAAATGAGCTGACTAGTAGCACAAGTCTGAAACATGTTAAATACTGATCTGCTAAGTTGTGGTTTGCATCATGGTGCAATTGAGGGTTCTACATCTTAGAGCTCACGCACCTCTATAGCATGTCGAAATACCCTTGGGTGCCTGGGTGAGATCCAAAACTGCATCGGAAAGTACACCGGCCCCTTGGATATATGGGGTAAGATCCGGAGCTACATCAGAAACAGACACATCCCGTAAACTTACTTCGTCGAGTATTGGGGCATTTGCGCCTAATCGACTACTGAAGTACCTTGGCACTGACCTGAATATCCAACTGACTGTCATAATCTGCTAAGAGAGTCTCGGTATCTTGATTGTTTCTCGAGTATCAAACAAGGCAAGTTTTATGAAACCCTAGTAGTTATTGTTTCTACTGTTATGATATTAATTATTGTTCTTACTTGTAGTTCTATCTATTGTTCTTGTGGTGTATTTGGGCCCCTCAAGTCTAATCCCTTAACCATTGGATTACTTATCTAAAACTGTCCATGGGTAACGATACTGACCCTTCAATATCGATACTGAACTCTTGGTATCGATACCCATATGTTGGTATTGATTCCTACTGACTGATTTAGGTTGATTTGAAGGGGAAGTGTCAATACTCCTGTTTGAGTATCGATACTAGCTTGAGTACCGATGTCAAAATAAGGTTCGATGTTTTAAAAATACCTCAGTATTGATACCCTTACTGGAGCTGGGTATCGATACTCTCTTGAGTACCGATACCAAAAATGCATTCTGGAATCTGATTTGTGTTCTTGATATCGATACTACCTTGTGAGTATCAATACCAGTCTTACAGTATTGATACTCCTCTCATGGGTATCGATATTTCTTTATTAAATTTGAACTATTTTAGCCTTAACTGAAGAATAGTATCGATACTGTAAGAAAAGTATTGATACCCTTGTTCGAAAATACCCTGTTTTGGCCATGAAAAATGACAACTTTCATCTCAAAATGCCCTATTAAGGGTCCCAATGGTTATTAAAGTCTTATTGATGATTTAAGAGGTCATAAAGAGATCTTATAATATACTGAAACATCAAAAGATGCAATCTACCATGAACATGCTTCCAAACTCATGCAACCTACAAAATCTTACTTAATGAACTACATGTAGTAGAGTTGAGTTAGAAATGAGTTACCTTGGTAATCTAGGCTGCTGAAAACGTCCAAAGCTCAACCCAACACAAGCTTCTCATTGTTCTTACTCTTGGAACTTTCTCCATCTTCTCTGACTAACAAAGAATCAAGCACACGGGTTACTAACTGGATTTAGAGGTTAAGAGAGGTTTAAAAACATTTCCCAATGTTAGACATCACTGAAAAATGACCAAAACCTTTAGGTTCCTTAAACCCCCTACAAAACCCACACTTTGAAAACTAAGGCCAAATCTTGTGTTTGAAGGCTTGAATTGAAGCTTAGGGTGGGTAGATTCTGAAACTTACCTTGGAAATCCTAAATTAGGCTTGCAAACCTTAAAGTTTTGACCTTTGCTAAGGTTTGGAGAAGAAGAAAGTGAATGGAGAAGAGGAGAAGAGGAGAAGAATCAAATGTGAGATCACCAATCTTAATTGGTTTTCAGCTTTATTTTTTAACAATAGTAAAATTACTTCCTTCATCATCTTGATTTTGGCTACAAACTAAAAATGTCCCTATTAACCATTATTGGGCTCAAACCAAGCCCAATTTCACTTGTTTTGGGGTCAAGGCTTCCTACAAGCTAAAGAACTTGTCCAAAGTGCATCTCGGGTTAGCCCAAAACTCCTAACCCAAAATTCGGGGCGTTACATTAACATTTAAATGTGATTATTCATATTTTTAATTTGTTGCAAGTATGTAGACTCAATTCGGTGAGCCCTACTAAGGTTTTGGGTAAAACATAGTAGATTTGATTTAGTCCTTTTAACAAACATAATTGAGATAAATATTTTTTTTGAAATTATATTTTTACGTTTAATTCACAAAAAAAAAATCATTATCAAGATGAATACTTTTTTAAAATTTTATTTATACGTTTATTTCACGAAAAAAAGATATTAATTAGGTAATGATTTATTATTAATACTAACAATTTTTGATTAAAATGATATGAATGTTATTATCTCTAAATTCTTAGGTATTTTATAATTCCTATCACTTAGTTCCAGAATACCTCTAGAATAATGAATTCTTTTGATATAAATCTTTCTCAATTCTCATTCTTCATGCTTTACTCAAAATTATAAATAACATTGCTAAACAAATCAAACAATGTAATATAAAATTATCGAGATAATACAACATTTTAATGATCTTACTTCCAAATGAAATCTTGTTCTGTTAACCAAACCACGAAATTCTCAACAATTTTTAAAAAGTTATTTATATTAAAATTTTGATGATTATAAAATCAAATTTCAAGTTTAATACATAAATTTAAGATCATACGTTTAAAGTTTTATACATAAATTTAAGATCATACGTTTAATGTTTTATACATAAATTTAAGATCATACGTATGTGTGTATACACACACACAAAGTGCTCTTATTTGGGGAGCCCACTGACATCTGGTGAGTACTTTAGTGCCCCAAACGAAGGCTGAAAATTTGTTGCTTAAGACTGTCGGTTCATTATTTCTACCACTAAATCCCCACACAACATATTCTTTACAATTTCTTGATATTTTCACCAAAATTTTGTTTTAATTTGTGAGTCTAGCTTCAACTCAATTATCTTTATTAAATAAAAATAAAAATGTTTTATGTATACAAACACTTTTCATTTTTCATTTTAATCTTATCAACTAATATTAATATGTTCAAAGATAATTCTCAATCATTTGACATTTAACTCTCATATCTCTGACATTTTTTTGCTCAAACTCGAGACATAAAAAAATAACAATAATTACTTTATTACTGAATTGACTTCGTTCGTACAACTAATATTAATCTAATCTCAATTTTCACACCCTCGTTCAAAACACCAAATGGTTGACTCTAAAACTCATATAAAGGTTAAACAAAATTCTTATTGTAATGCTCGTTATTAGGTCAAATATCTCAACTAATTAAGAGTAATTAAAACCCTTATTAGATGAAAAAAAATTAAATGTTTTGAGACGTGTGATTCTTCATTAACACAATCAAAGCTACGCAACATTAAAATATAATAATTAATGAGAATTTCAACGCAATTTTGGTTATCATATTTGAATGTGTCAAAAAGGATCTATCATTTATTAGCGCCTTGAATTCTCCCCTCCTATTATATGCAAAATAAAAAATAGCCTTATCCCACATCGAATGCGTTTTAATGGGATTGCGTGCTTTATGCGCATACCGTGACAGTCTTTTAAAAGCCAAGAAAAAAGGGGTAAACTCAGTTTTTAGGCCTTGAAGGTTTTGATAATTTATTGAATAAACTATAACACATGTTGCTAAACTATGTCAAAATAATATTTCCGATCATTTAACTTTCAAGTGTTATTAAAATATCATTTAATATAACCAACAACCAGTTGATCTAGTGGGATGAGGCACTAGGTCCCTTAAGTAAGGTCAGGGGTTCGAATCTTGACGTTTGCAAATGGAGCAAATTGGATTGGGAGGGTCGCCCTCGCCTCTACAGTATCCAATCTAGATTAGTCGGTCAATAGATCGGATATCAATGATTAATTCAAAACAATATCATTAAATATATATAAAAAGTCACAAAATAGTTTCTGCAACATTACAAATAATAATAAATTTTATAATTTGGTAATTATTTTGTAAATTTTTTATAAGTTTAATGATTATTATATAATGTTTGATTGCGTAGTTATTTTAGTCCTTATTTTTTATTCATAGTTATTTTGGCCTTTGTCTTTTTGGAACATTTTGATCTTTAATATTTCTTTTTGGGAGAAATGTCTCTCATTGAATGAAAAATGTTACTTGACTAACTATCAACTGCTAATGTAATAAATTTGAAATATTAATACGGCTGGAAAGACATATGTCACATGCCTAAGGTGATTACTGGAAATATAGGATTTGTCACATCGACAAAAAGCGTTAATTATCATTGAACTAATAATTTTCATCTAATTATGGGTATTTCATTAAAAATAAAAAGTATTGACAACGTACACATATCCTACAGATAAACTGCTAGAATCCATGATCTTTTAAAAGAACAACCTTCTCTTTTACCACTGAGATCATTTTATAGGTTCACCTCCACCACCATTTTATTCTTATCTAGTTAATGTTCTTAAACTTCATTGTACACATTAATCAACTAAAAAATTCTATGGATGAAATTGAAATAGTTACTAAATTCAGGGGACTAAAAGTTCTTTTAGCCTATAAAATGTGCTAGAAGACTTTCTTTGATGGGCAAACCTGAAAAATAAAATAAAAAAGAGGAAGAAAAGAGAGTTTTCCCTCACCCAAATGGCAGCTCTTTAAACAAAACAGTACAAATTGCATTAATGGCGCTATTAATGCGCTCTGGTCTTTTTTTCATCATTCTTTGGTTCATATCTACACCACCATTTAATTCAACATTGTTGAACAGTCATGAATGAAGATGTCATATATCATCCAAATCCTTTTAAATGCTAATAAATTTGACCATAATATCCATCAAGCAGACTCTTATTAAATTAATCCTAAGAAACTTATCCTAATTCTCCTTCTCCTACCTTGATTCTCTATTCATATCTGAAGTTTCCTCTCTCTCTCTCTCTCGGAAATGACAGCACGGGTGAGTAGTTCATTGGAACAATCCCAGAACAATATTCATACTGGGAATTCTGGGATTTTGGTTACCAAAGATTTGCTGGGAAATCTGTCAAAAGCTAAAGCAGATCTTGAATTTGAGGTGAAAATTTCAACCTTTTGTTTTCTTTGTAACAAATCCCAAGAACTCATTTATGTCAATTTAAGTCTCTATGCACTGTTGTTTTCAGTTCACAACTAGTTTGCTTCACCATTTAATGTTGAATTTAATTCTGGGTTTTTGCTTATATATTCTGCTCTCTTTCTCATTTTCTCTGCAGTTCATGATCTGAGCTTCTCTTTTTATTTTACTTTTTTGTTTGTCACCATGCAGGGGGGAATAGAGGCACAAAAGTGCAGTTCGTCATCACCAAAGTCGCCATTATCAGATGGGAAAACCAAGAATCCATTGACGGATTTCCTAAAAGATTCGAAGCTTCAAGACTTGAACTTTCCACCAATCAACCTGTTCGACGAAATGACAACTTCACTCGACTTGAAGCTCCAATCTGTTCGACCCAAAGCCTTTACCAAAGCGTCTGCACACTGGACAAGGTCAAATACGCCCTGGAAAGAGCAGAAAAAGGAACCATGAAAAAACGTTCATCTTCACCACTGCCGTCACCGCCGCCGCTTACGGCGAAGACGACGTCTTTTCTGACGACGCCGAGAATGTTTGCAGCTGCATGTCCCGGTTGCTTGCTGTATGTCATAGCTTCCAATACGAATCCAAGGTGTCCTCGCTGTAATTCTTTTGTTCCATCTTCTTCACTGCCTATGAAGAAGCCTAGGCTTGACCTCAATGCATCATTTTAATCTTTTTTTAATAAAAAATGTATAATTATTGATTCATGTAAATTGGGGAAAAAAAAAGGCATGGGTTCGATTTCTGGGGCATTGTAGGAAGTACTGATGTTATTAATACAGTTTTTCTTCATATTTGATATTTTCTTTAGATTTGTGTAATATTGCAATTATGAACAGAAAATGATATTTTATTTAGTCTAATCAAATTTTGGCGGATAAGGGTGTCTAGTATTTACTAACAGTAACTTTTTTTGGTGAATTAAATGAATAAATTTACTATTCTTTAGATTTGACATTAAAACATTTACCTTTTGGATGTTGAGTTCTTCAAGTGTAATACTCAGCACAAGTTGCAGGCATGTAAACGGTGAAATGGTGATGAAGGCATCTATATATGGTAATAGGCATGTATATAATAAGAGTATTAAGAGTGAGGGTGTAAATGAGTTGGATTTGAATGAATAAGGAGATATTTATGTCCGTTTGTTTATTTCTAAAAATATTTATTTTATTGGTGTTAATTTAAAATTTTAAAATCGAGTTTGTTTGTTTATTTTAAAGGTTATTTGTATTCAATTTGTTTATCGTCAGTAAGCATGTTTATTTAATGTTCGCGAACATATTCATTTTTATATTTGTTAATATATTCATTCGGTATTTATTAATAAGTTCATTTAGGGTTTATAAAACATGTTGGTGAAGCTATTTCATTAGTCCTTAAATTTCCAAAATTTCACCGTTTAAATTTCAAAGTTCATTCTAGTGTTCAATTTGATCTTACCTTTATCGATATTTAAAATATAAAAGTATAGAAGGAAAAGAAAAATTAGGTAAGAAAACTCGTGATAAATGAGTTTGTTCGTAAACATAAATGGATCGAACATATTTAAATTTTTATTTTAATGATGTCTATTGGTACCATCTTTTCTTTTAGGCGCTAACTCAACAATATAATGCATTAAGCACTAACTCGCCGACATAATAAAAATAAAGAGTTAGTATATAAAATACAATACAAAATGTGTTGAACTATGTTTTGATATAACAATTTAAAGGCAAAATGTTTTTGGACTTGAATTGAATTTATTCAAAGTTTTTAAAAGGTTTCAAAAATAATTCAAAGTCCATTTAATTTGAAATTGAGCACAAAATGTTTTGGTGAACAATACCGATATTGTGTGAACAATAATGAACATTACCAATGCTAAAAAATATCGAATGTAAAAGGTGTACCGATGCATTGCTACAGTGTACCGATACACTCACTGTTCACACAGCCCAACAGTCATAAAATTTGAATTTAATGAAGGGGTATCGATACACCTTGATAGTGTACCGATACACTCTGTTTTGGGCAGCCTATTTTTGTAGAAAAATAATCCCCAAACGGCTCCAAAACCTCCCCAATGGTTATATACGACTTCAAACTCATTCCAAGCTATAAATACAAGCTGATGACACTTGAAGAAGAATGAGAACAACTATCCAAGCAATCAAACACAAGATAAGAAGTTTTTCATTCTTATTTTCATTCTCTCTTGTAAATATTTGTTCTTGTGAGCTTAATTTTTGTAAACACCTACCTTTGAGAGGTTTATTTGTTTACTTCTTTTATCCTTTTGTAAAAGGTAAAGGTTTTAGCTTAGCCCGTGTAAAAGCTAGGGAAAGGTTCTAGTTTATCCCGTGAAAAACTAAGGAGTTGTAAAAGTTATCTCTTTGTCCTTAAAAAGAAAGAACAAATTAGTGAATTTGTTGGAAAATCCTTGGTGAGGAGCTAAGGTAGTGGATGTATACTTGGTTGAGAAGTCGAACCACTATAAATCATTGTGCAATTCTCTATCTTTCAATCTCCTTACTCCCTAAACACAAAAACCGTTCTGACCCCTCTTTGCAAATGGTTCTGGTTATCGATTCGAGCTTCCGAAAATCCCAACAATTGGCATCAGAGCTTAACTCGTTAGAAGGTTTAACATCCTCGAGACGATCCTAGAATGAGCTCTACCAATTCCTGACACAACCGAGAAAATGGCTTCCACCTCCGGCTCGTTCAACATGGAAGACTCCCTATCAACCGACAAGCCTCTATACTTCAATGGAGCCAACTACTGTCATTGGAAGAAATTAATGAAGTTATTTATCCAAGCCAATGATCTTGATGCATGGGAGATGATCGAGAGCGGATACTCTTCTCCAAAGAAGAAGGAGAAGAAGAGGAGTGACCAAGAACAGAAGAAAGCTCAACAAAATGCCAAGGCCATGCATATGGTGTTTTGTGCATTTGGTCCTGAAACCTATGAAGGAGTTTCTTCGTGTTCAAGTGCCAAGGAGCTTTGGAATAAGCTCGAGGAAATCCATGGAAACAAGAAAGAAGAACCAACAAAGATGGTGTCTTTAATGGCTTGTGAAGAGCCCGAGGTATCTACTAACTCAAATGAATTTAATTCATATTCTTTTGATGAGTTACAAGATGCTTATAATAAGTTGTATTTGAGATTTAAGACCATGAATTCCAAATATAAGAAATTAATTTCAAAACTTAAAATTGAAAATAAGTTAATTTTGAAAGAAAAAGTTGATTTTGAAAATCAAAATGAAATTTTGAAAAATGATTTAGAACTTTCAAAAGTCAAAATCAATGATTTAGAAAAAGAAAATTTTGATTTAGAAGTTAAGCTTGAAAGCTTAACAAAATAAAAAGAATTAATTTCTAAAAACAACTTATTATGTTTAAAAATGGCAAAATGCTCACATTGCCATTACCATGGTCATAAGGAACATACTTATCCTTTGAAGAAAGGAAAACATTTTAAAATTAGACAAGTATGGGTTCCTAAGGGAACAAGGGGCATTGAAACTAACGTTCAAGGATCCAAAGCAATTTGGATACCGAAATCTACTTAAATGTCTCTTGTAGGTGTGTGGGAGCAATGGTGATGAATATGAAGAAATCAAGATGCTTTAGCCACACATGAAAATGAAATGGGTAACCTTTAAGCTTAATACTTTTGATTTTTTTTGATTATTTGGTTGCTCATTTTGGTTTAAGCATGCATGAGTTTTGATTTTAAATAATTATGTTTTTTTTAATCTCATGTATGTTAAGAGGAAATTGTGATGAACATTTTAAATTTTTCATAAATTTTAGTTCATCATAATGAATTTTGGCTAAAATTGTTTTTAAATGCAAATGATATCTCTCTAACAATTGATATTAACTTTTTTAAATACTTTGATTTTACAAATTTTAAATTTTTGACCTAAATTTGAATGTTTATGGATGTGGTTTAAATGAAAATGATATATCTCTAACAATTGATGTCAAAAATTTTCAAATGCATGACATTTTTAGAAAACTTTATGCGTATGCACTTAATTTCAACAATTGATATTGCATAAAGTATTTTAGACTTGGATATATTGAATTTCATGTGCTACTAACATGTGTGTTATTCTTTGTTGAAATTCAATTTTGTTTAAGTGTCAAGTTTTTAAAGCTAAATTTTGTTTGGAATGCACTTTTTGAGGGGGGAACTTTGATTTTTCAAATGATTTTAAGATACAATTTAACACTTACTCTCCATATGTTATTTTAGAACTTTAAAAATTGAATTATTTTTTATATAACAAAAAGGGGGAGAAGTATCGTTTGAAAAATTCAATTTCTTAATGAAAAAAGGGGAGCTGATCATTTTCACATATTTTCCAACAATTAGTAAATTTTTCATTAAATATTTTATTAAGGAGTTTTACCAAAAATAATTTTTCAAATGTTTTGTTATATCAAAAAGGGGGAGATTGTTGAACTATGTTTTGATATAACAATTTAAAGGTAAAATGTTTTTGGACTTGAATTGAATTTATTCAAAGTTTTTAAAAGGTTTCAAAAATAATTCAAAGTCCATTTAATTTGAAATTGAGCACAAAATGTTTTGATAAACAGTACCAATACTGTGTGAACAGTAATGAACATTACCAATGCTAAAAAATATCGAATGTAAAAGGTGTATCGATGCACTGCTACAGTGTACCGATACACTCACTGTTCACACAACCCAACGATCATAAAATTTGAATTTAATGAAGGGGTATCGATACACCTTGATAGTGTACCGATACACTCTGTTTTGGGCAACCTATTTTTGTAGAAAAATAATCCCCAAACGGCTCCAAAACCTCCCCAATGGTTATATACGACTTCAAACTCATTCCAAGCTATAAATACAAGCTGATGACACTTGAAGAAGAATGAGAACAACTATCCAAGCAATCAAACACAAGATAAGAAATTTTTCATTCTTATTTTCATTCTCTCTTGTAAATATTTGTTCTTGTTAGCTTAATTCTTGTAAACACCTACCTTTGAGAGGTTTATTTGTTTACTTCTTTTATCCTTTTGTAAAAGGGAAATGTTCTAGCTTAGCCCGTGTAAAAGCTAGGGAAAGGTTCTAGTTTATCCCGTGAAAAACTAAGGAGTTGTAAAAGTTATCTCTTTGTCCTTAAAAAGAAAGAACAAATTAGTGAATTTGTTGGAAAATCCTTGGTGAGGAGCTACGGTAGTGGATGTAGACTTGGTTGAGAAGTCGAACCACTATAAATCGTTGTGCAATTCTCTATCTTTCAATCTCCTTACTCCCTAAACACAAAAACCGTTCCGACCCTTCTTTGCAAATCTTTCCGGTTATCGATTCGAGCTTCTGAAAATCCCAACAAAGTGGTTATGGGATTAGATTTTACCATATCTCAATCAACAAGTTAACGTCTAGTTCAGATAATCGCTAATTTTTTAATGGAAAATGATAAGTTTAGAACATATAAATAGTCGAGTGATCATTTTTAACTTTTTAATAATAGTGAGACTCAAGAATATAATATTCTTGTAATATTCCAAACATCATTTTAGTGACTAAAATGTAAGGATTTAAAAGTTATTGGTTATCTTTTGATAAATTGAAAAGTTCAAGGATTAATTTTGGGATTTATTGTTTAGGACTTATTATCAAAGTTTGAAGGATTGATTGAATGGTAAAATGGTCTTTTGACAAGAAATGAATTAA